TTTCACATTGCACACACAGATTAATTATGCAGCTTCCTCCACCTTTATCTAGGTCTGATGAATATCTGAAAGCCCATCCAACTCAGCTTGTATGGCTTTTTCTGTCTCATGAAGACTGCCTAATTAATATTCTGTACTTTTATAACCTTTGGCCTTTATCCAAAATAGTACTTCAGCCTACTTGAATCCAGTAGGAGACAGCTGACTTACTGACTGAGAACAGTTTTTCCCTGCCTGAAGTTTTAGGCTGCTATGAGACCACAGTATAATAATAAATATAAGAAATAAAATATCATTATTTTTTCATCAATCAGCAGCAGCCTGAAGAGTAAACCAATAAAATCTGTTATTCCTGACACCTCTAATTTTTTGCTCCAGTTACAGTTTTTAAAATATGTCATTTGTCAAGCTACTGGATATTTCCAATTAAAGAAACAGTCAAATAAGCTAGAAAGCTTGTTAGCTAATGTCTGACAATCAGCCATGTGCAAAGCTTTACCAAGAGCAAGTGGCTTTCATTATTTCCACTAGAGACTGAAAGTTACATGATTAAAGAAATTGATTCCAATTATTTAGGATCCCATTCCAAGCGCAAATAATAAATCAAACCATAAGTGGCATTGGTCTCACTAAAATATAGCGATAGCACCTTTACCACTGGAGAATATGTGCTTAGCCATTGGCCATTTATTTTTTCAGGGGGAATTTCAGATATGTGATGGAATTCCAGCTACTTGTAGAAAGTCCAGCCACGTGGTCATAAATAGAATTTTGTGGCGTGTAAACTTCGGATGACTAAGATTTGGTTATAAAATAACATAACACTCCATATTGGGAAATCTTTTTAAAGTTGAGTGGTTCCTTTTGTTCTCTATATATCAGCTTCCTAATGGCTTTTCAACAGTTTGAGCCATTTTCTAAAATTACCACAGCTGCTTCACATTACTTATGGGGTTCTGTTGCTAAGAGACCTCCTGCTTGCTAAGTCTCACTAGATCCCTAAACTAGATTTTTTCTTGTTGATTGCATATTCACAGAAAACACTATCATGAAACAAGACTTGGTATAACTTTTCCTTCCAAGCTGGTTCAAAGGGTGCAGAGGTTTTCAAACTGCTAATGGCAGAGCTGTCTTAGGTAATGCTGCCTCTGCCTATTGACTAAGCAAGTCACTGCTCTGAAGACTTCAGAATGTTTTGTACTCTCCCCTTCTTTGTTTTTCATTGTATGTTTCACAGAGCTGAATTTTGTATTTGTTTTACTGTTTTGACAGTAATCATGTTTCCATTAGCAAGCCTATTTCAAAACAGAATTCATTAATTTCACCAGTCCACAAGGAATGGGAGGTAACTTCTACAGGAAGGAAGCATGACATGTCTGAAAGCAGAAAGGGCTGGTGGACTCAGTTCACCAACATTCTGCTCACTGAGCAGTCACTTCCATCCAAGTGGTGAATACAACACATTCTGTGTTACCATTTAGATCTGATCACTAATTTCATTGTTTGAACCATGAGGAAACAGGGTAAAAATCAACAGCAACCAGGTCCCAGAAGGAGTAATTAAACAGTAGTCTCTATCTAGAATAAACATCATGGAAAGTGAAGAGGGAGAAGTCTGTGATGGAAGGAAGTGGGTAAGGACTGACAGGAATTCTTGCATCAGAAATGTAACCAGGACAGAAATATCAGCTGGAGTAGACCAGTCATGAAAGAGAGGGTGAATCACAGTATGTACCTGAGAAACCCAGATGTTGAGCTAGTTTTTTCTTTCATGGCAACTCAGGCCTCCACCTCGACTGGACAGGGCTGGTGACTTCCAGCTGAAAAATCAGATGGTGTGTGACAAAGAGATTCTGGGCTGCCATCTCTCAGTTTGGTGAAGGAGAGCAGAGAAAGGTGATCTGTGGATGTATCTGCAGAAGTGCTCTCAGGACAGGAAAAGAAAACACATGGGGATTCTCTGGGTAACGCTTCTCAGAAAGTGGAATGGGTTGACAAAATTAGGAATGGTGGGGGTGAGGTTTTATTTCTGGTTTTGACACCACATCCCTGAAGACTTGGGTTTGTGGTTCCAGAGTCACAACACAAAACCCATTTCCTTTCCATGTTCCTCTTCTCCTTGACTAAATGACTGGTAACAAGGAGCTCGTTGTCAGGTAACTGGGGAGCAGGAACACCAATAGGGTACTTGAGAGGATTGTCCAGCTGATACCTGTAGACAAAGTAGAACAAAAAAGTTAATGTAATTCAGAATAATTTTGTATAAGAAAGATTTGAAGTAATATTTTGATTAGGAAATAAAGTATTTAGAAATTAAGTACAAAATAGGAATACCAGTGGTTATTGTGATGAGGAAATTAAGCAGATTGAACCCTCATACCCATATTTTCAGTTCTGTCTAAAAAGGGTATCAAAGAATGAGAGATAAAACATTTTTGATATGCAGTTTTAAGATTCCAGAGAGCTGAATCACCTAGCATTTCACTGCTTTATTCTTAGCTGCTGAAGTCTTGTTTCTGTGTAAAAAATTTCAAAGGCTTGGCATGACTGGAAAAGGGGAAAAAGTAGAGTGTGAAAATAGAATATAATTACTAACATTTAAAAACAAAGGAAAGAGTTTGGTTAGATATGAAAGAAGACTCTCTGGTGGTGAAGATTATGAAGTATATTCCACAGAGGTGGAGTGGTCTCCACTATTTTTCTCATAATAACTTTCAAAGAAACCTGTTGGTGACAGCAGTGCAGCAGATTCTGTCTTACAGGGGAGGAATAGTCTTCTTCAACAACACATGATACTCTTTCAGTCCCCTGACAGAATTTCTTACAGTCCAGGATGATAAACACTTAAAAGAGACTCTGAGATCTATAGGATTTTTCAGTTCTCACTTACCTGGAAAGGGTGTCACTGCTGGGCTGATCTCAAGTGTCACTGTGGAGGTAACTTGTGCATATGTAAGCATAAGGACATGCATGGTAATCAGCTTCAGATACCATGAAAAACTGAATACAGTGAAGTTGGAATTATCAATAACTTTAGGTCAGAGCATATCATGAAAATGAAAGGAGGTATTTGTAGATCTTTTCTGTTTTAATGCTATATTCACTATATTCATGGGAAGGAAATTATATAATCATAATTGTTTACTTGAAAAATAAAAAAAGCTATGCTGGTTTCAATGGTAAATAAGAATTCCTGGATTCCTGATTCTTGGATGAATTACATAGTATTTGTCTATGCTATGACATGTAATGTTGAAATACGAACTCAAGATTGGTCTAGCCTTGGAATAATGTTTCAACCACCAGGGAACATGATACTTTTGTAAAAATAGGCTTGCAATTCAGATAATGATATTTCCACTGTATTATTTATTTGTTATGTCTGACAGTGAGCTTGGCCGTTTAGAAGAAAAGCTAAAAACTTTTTCTGCCCTGGGACTACACAGCCTTAGGCCCCAGTCTTAGAAAGATTTATGTTTGCATAGCTTGAGCAATCTCACTGGGACTTAAACACAATACTGAATTTACAAAATTGGTGCATGTGGCCAGTGAGTGGGATTACAGTCCAGAACATGGAAAGAAGAATGTACCATGGCATTAGTAGTTTGACCCATATTTTAAGTTTTCTTTGGAGCAAAATGAAGAGTTTGCAGCTCTGCTGCAAGGAACTTATTTTCAAGACAAGACAACCTGGAAGACAAAAAAACAGGGATCACAGTGGAATGACCACTAAAAGAAACCTTGATTTTAACTTTACCAATCATCAGTAAAAATCTCTTCAAACACTGAATGCTTTTATTTATAATCATGTGCCCCTCAAGTGGCATGCATTCCTATTCTTGCCACATATTGCCTAAACTGATCATCTATCTAAACTTATGTATAGAAAAAATTTCAAAACTTTCTTTGAACATTGTCAGCATTATAGTTAAATATTCTACTATACCATGTGCATCAAAAGAGAGAGCACAAAATATCAGAAATTACACTTTATTTTTTAACTTTTATTGCTTTTGTCTTACTAAACTTGAAACCTTCTTCCTTTTCATTGATGCTTATGCAAAAACACTTAAAAATAACTGCATATTATTGCTGACAATGTCAGTAACCAGAGTCACATTTTAAAAACTATCAATGAAAAATAATGGTATCAACCATATTCACATATATTTGAATTCTGAAGATTTCCTTCATAATACACAACACACACAACTTTAAAGTAATATGAAAGGATTGAAAAGACTTTTTCCACAAACTGTTTTATCTCTCCTCTTCCTATGTTGGTAAACAGCAGGTGACTGAAAAGACATAACCTTGAAATATTTAGAGGTTGAGATCTGAATTCCCTCTTTTGCAGAACCTGGGTCTCTCTGCTACCTATCATATCCTCACAAAACATAAACAGAAAAAATTTGACTGTTATATTTAGCAAATTGCTTCATCAATAAATATTAATATCTTTTCCCAGAAGAACTCAGGCCCACAGATTGATGCTGGAAGCAGTATTTTCAACCATGATGGGGAAGTTTATTCTTTTCTATTACACAAATTTTAAGTCAACACTAACACTACTACTCTTGACAGAAAAATATTGAAGTTCAACAATAAAAATTTCTTAATAACAGTGTTGTGGTTAGTGAACAGACAGACTATGATATTTCTGCGTGTCTCTATGGTCTAAGTTTCCAATTGCAAAATAAATGTTAAAATTTGTGAAGCTTTTTGTTCCTTTAGATACAGAAATTACTGTAAGGCTTTCAAAGTAAGAGAATCTATTGCCATCTCATAATTTGTAACATTTTTGCAGGCCTCTATGAAAGGTCAGAGTAAAACTGTAATTGATTGTTTTGTCCTTCTAGCAATCTTAGCTTTCCTTCTTCCTCAAAACTGACCTGAACAGCCTTCATTTTTGCAGGTTTGAGACTGCAGAGGGTTAATAATACTTCTAACAAAAGTGAAATCATTTAGGACTAGGGAATATTTTCTTTTTTGTTTTACAGAAGAACAAAGGAGTCTGAAAGCTCAAAATTCAGAAGCAAATTTTCCACTGTACAATAAGTTCTAAACACCAGGACAACCCCTTTTATAAGCTTGAGAATTGGTAGAACAAACCTATTTATGGTAAGTCATGCATGCTCACCTTCTACTACTCCATTCACAAAATCTCTTTCTTACCTAGCTTAGCTGTGAAACTGGAGGTTTATAAAGTGAAATTTTCGAACATCTTTTTCAGACAATGGTAAGCATGGTGGTGTGAACTGAAAAGATGGCAAACAATCACAGCAGACTTCATTAAGTGTCAGTGGCTTCCTAAAGACAGGACACAGATTTCCCTGTCCTAGGTGCTGTCAGCAGGGGCAGAGTGGGTTCGCCTCCTTCTCCAAGGGAGATCTGGAGAGCATCAGGAGAATATTTTCACTGTTATGCAGCTTAAATAAGCTTCATTCCTTGTTAGGTTTTAAAGTAAGAAAGCAATTACATGAAATGCATAAAGCAAGGACTGAGATGGTGAATTATCAGACAGCAGTTGTCTTGAAGTAGGAAACTGAGTGAAAAATATAAGTCAAAATATATAAAGAGATACCTGTTCATATTTTAATTACATTCTTATTTGTTCCTATAAAGACAAAAGCTTTCATTTTTGCCAGTAGCATGAAAGGAAAATTAAAAACAGAGTTTTAAAGCTAAATTTACAGCCAGATATTTTTAATAGTACCCTTACTGTTGTTGTTTACATAGTTTAAGATCTTTCAGCTATTTGCATTCTATTTTGACTGGAGAGAAATCAGAGCAAATCCTCTTTGAGCAGCTTTTCGGCCAGCACAGAAAATAACAAGTTAGAATTTTTTTCTGATATTTCATACTCAAGAAATATATTTAATCTCATACAATATTACAGCTGCATGAAAAAAAAAGAAAAATGTGGATCATATGCATATAGGTTCTTCAGTTTTAAAAAAAACACTAAATTTTCCCTGGGGTTTTGGTTTTGTTTTGGAAGTTAAGTGTCTACAGCAGTATTTCTTTATGTAAATTATTTCTAACCATCACAAAGTTAGAGTTTCTGGACTTTGTGCAGTGGTATTGGATAGCAGTACCCAAATCATGCCTATCCAGGGAAGCACTTCCACATACAGAAAAATGTTTGCTCTTTACAGTCTTGGTTAATGGACATTAGAGGAGAAGAAATGTATTTTATGCAGAAGAAAAATAGTACAATGACATTGTGCTCTTGATCTTCTCTGCTGAGCACAGCACCGGTATAGATCACAACATGCACACAGGATTAACAGGTCTGAAAAAATCTTACCGACTTTCTCCCTAATCTCCATGCCAAATGTCGATTGGCTTGTAAAAATGTGGTTCATAGGCTAAAAGCAGGAAAACTCCTGCTTCCCTACACTTGGCTGGTGAAACTGATCCAAGTGCAAGAACAAGTTTCCTATTTCAAGGAAGCTGAGAGTTAACTAGGTTCTTGAATAAATCTGAATAGCTCACTACAGCTGGGTTCAGGTGAAGGAAAATAAGAAAATGGCTCACACTGAGTTATCAGTTCCGCAAAATATTTTTACCCCAAAACAAAACCTCAGGAAAAGGTCTTTATCTTATCATAAAACACAAACAGTTTATTGTTCTGATACAGTGTTGTATCTGTAGCAAGATAAGTCTGTGGAAAACTAGAACCTTGCTTCTACAATGTGGATTCAGTGTAAAGCTGGAAGAGGCAAGAGATATAGCAACTTATTTGACATTTTTTTCTTCTCTAAATAGTATTTTGAGACAACAATTTTTAAATTATTTTCTGTACATGGCATAAAATTATAAGTTAATATTTACACAGTACTTAATGACGAAGATGAGCTATGTAAGTACAATAATTAAGACTGCAAAACTACCAATGCACTCATCAGAAACATTCTCAAAGTTGGTAGTGGAGGACACTCACCTCACAACAAATTAACTAAGTTTTGCTGACAAGGAAAAGAAAGAAGAATTTGCATGATAATCCTTCTAGACCTATGGCCAGGAGTCAGAGGCCATATTTGAAATTCAAATAATGAAATAACCAAACCAATGTAAAATATTCAAAGCATTGTTTTTCACAAGCAGTCAAAAATATGAACTTAAAAATATTTTGGAAAATATTCAAGTGACGTAGCCTTCTGAAAGTGGAGATGAACAAGTGGTAGAAAGGAAAATAGTACAAAATCTGAGAAAATGAATTTTAAAGAATTTCCAGTAAAGATGAGGTAATAAAAATATTCATAGAATGATCATTCTACTTCTTCATGACTGCCTTTAAATAAATTTCATAATGCAAATGTGTTAAAGGACAAAAGTATTTTGTCCTTTATATTTTAGAGGACCCTGAGAAAGTGTTTTCTGTGAGAGACACAAATTGATTACCTGAAAATCAAAACCATTTTCTTTCATTCATAAACATCCACGTATTTAGACTTACAAGATTTTTAAAATATCTAATCATGAAATACTAAATTTTTCCCCTTTACAATGCTCACATCTGGGCACTTTTTTTTTTTTTGTTCATAGTATTGTTTTGTTGCTACATTAAATACATTGTATAAGCATTAATGAGTTTTTGTACAGATTTAGAAGTGGTTTTTTTAATTTCTCATGACTCTGGTACTCCTGAAACACTTAGGCTCCTTTTAAAATGTTATTCAGACTCCAGAGAACCTGGAACACAGCATCTTTTCTGTGACAGAAATGTTTACAAAAAAGAAGAAAAGTAGAAAAATAAAATTGTGGTCAATCTCCTGTATTTCCTCTTTCACACAGCACTAAAATTTAAATGATTTTTTTTACTTACATTATGATTTGTCAAAGGAAACAGGGAACTTTTTTCTTTAACTTCCAAAACATACTGTGATTCCACTAAAGTTAATAGGATCATTCCCCCTGAATGCACTGCATCAGGGTTAAAATTATTGAAGCCATTTATGACTCACAATGGCAGAAAAAATAAGGTAGATGGTTGTGACCCCATAGCTCTCAGACTGTCCCAGATTCGTCTGAAATCAGACCAATCTGTCAGTAGAACCCTCACTAGACCATAGAAGGTCTAGTGCACAAATGCACAAATACTTTTTTTTAAGTTGTCTGAGATTAATTTGCAATAAAATTAGGTCCTTTGAATTCATTCAATAATTACTGTGGAGCTTTACTGTATTTTCACTCTTCGTTTGCAGTAGCTAGTGTCATTAGAGGATCTAAGGGAATCAGTAACACTATTGGGTTAGTTACAAAAAGTTTGATTGGAAGACAATGACAATATTTTGTCACTTAGTATTTTAATGGAACACTAAATTCAGTCATGTAACACAAGAAATTAAAAGTTGGATTTCAACTGTGCTGAGTAAAGCGTGTTTCGTAAATGAATAAGCATGGTGAAAAATATATCATAGTTGTGTAATAATCATATTTCACTGGTGAAAAATCCCATATTTCTTAATAGGCTGATAACAGCTCCAAGTTAGCCACCTATTCTTAGTCATTTCTGAAAAAAAAAAAAAACCAACAAAGGCTGTTCTGGCTCCTCAGTTGCTCATGGGTAAGATAATAGGTGATGCCAAATATTTTTAGAAACATGACTAATGGATAACCCAAATCCTTGCCCTCAAAACAGTCTGATAGTCTCAAAAAAGTGTTGAGTACCTACATACTAAAAATCAGGTTTCTCTGATAATTCTGGTTTGACCTTATCATTTCTCTTTTGAAATTTTAGAATGCTAGAGGGAAAATAATTGTGGTATCTTTGAGATAAGACTACCAGTCTCCCCTTTAATTCAAGAGTACAAATGCTGATATGCCAATTGCAATCTACAGAAGCCAGAAGTGCAAACAATTATATTATTTGTTAAATACTTGCCTTACACTTTATTATGCTATTGTGAACATCTGCTTCTTGACTGCAGCAAGTAAAATTTTTCCATAGCTCTTCTTGCAAATAAAATTGGCAGATCTGCCAGAATGTCATGATTTCCCTAATAATACATTACCCTAGGATTTAGCTTGAAGTCACGTACAAAATCTTCAATTTCTGCTGTTGAGTGCAGACATAAATGTTTAAGAGTCCCCAAGGATGATGAGAGACAGTGGAAGGAAACACAATCACTATGAAGATGATGAAAATATTGAAGACCAGCCAACATAGATAATAAATAACATAAAAGAAAGACCTTGTTCTCTAATGTTCCCTGAGAGCTAATCTAAGCACTACTTATGTCAGCCAATTGGCCAGGTAGTGGAAAGAGGATTCCCATTGTCTGGATGCATCAAGTAAATAAAGATTTCCATCCAGGACAACTCTCTTTTCATTGTAGTGTTCTGTGGGGAAATTTAATTCCGTAACATTCTGATCTCCTCACATTTTGCTTTGTTGCGTTTATAAACTTAAATTAAGCCCCTTTTTATTTCACTTTCCCTAACAGCTGCTCTAGCATGAAGTACAGGTGGATCTGGCATCTTCAGCTTTAGCAATGTGCTGGCTAGTACAGGGCAGGGCACTAGAAAGCCCTCAGAGCCAGGCTGTGGCCATGCTCAGTGACAGGCAGCTGAGCTTCCAGGCTTCCCTCACCACATTGGACAGGGCAGGATTCAGGCAGAGCAGCAGCAAGGAAATCGAGTAACTTTCAAAAGTCACCAGGGATTAATGTGAATTCCTTCACCTCAAGTATACTGTAGCAAAATACTTCTCTTTCATCAATAGGAAAATTCTTATTGAAAGAATATTTTAGCATTGGCTTTACTGATTTCCAAATCTCCACAGTTTTGTTTCCTGTTTATTACAGTATATGGGAAGATTTCTACTGTCAAAACAAAAGAATATGGAAATAAAGAAATTAAATCAAAAAAAGCTAAATATCACCCAAGTTTAAATAAGTCTTCATTGCTTGTGGACACTGCATTCCTAGTTCTTATATTAATAAAACAAGGACATGCAAAATTCAAGTTTTTTCTTACAAAATTAAGTTCTCTACAGTGCAGAATCATGAACAAAAAGCATTTTAATATTCTAAGTAACAGAACCATTTGACATTTATTTTACTGACTTTTTCAAGAGATCTCTTTAATGAGCAAGTTAAAACTTTGTTTTCCTC